ACTATAGTCAGAATTTTAATTAGATTCCAGATTTGACAATAGCTACTGTCATTTTGTGAAATAATGATACCACATATAATAGTGTAGTGATGAACACAAAAATCGATAAACAATCAGTGTGTGTGTTTTATAATAAATGTTACAGAAAGTGACAGGATAGCGATAGCGATGACGGCGACAATTTATAAAATAACTTATTACCATAATACATCTATCTGTTTTATTTGTCATGTTCCTTCATGATTACATTTTTTTATTTATTTCACACACAATTATAAAAGAAAAGTCTCAGATCGTTAATTAATCGTCAAAACTAAATTATCGGTTCAGAAATATTTAATTTCCTGATATACTTAGTTTACGAGAGTAAAATTATAAACGCGAAGAATCGATCCAGAAATATTGCATTTCCATATCGAATAATTTCGCAACGTCACTATTTAGTACTTGTCATAACGTTGCAACACTGAAATTGTCAAATCTGGAATCGAATTAAAATTCCGAGTATAGTGTGGAGCAACGGTTTTTTTAATACTTAAGATCCAAGGTAAAATGCCCGCGAATTAAATGTCACACTTACTGGTGCACATGTGTCACTTCGAGGATATGTTATTTATTATTTAATTTATTTATACGATTACCTATTTATCTTAGACAGCATTCAGAAGACCTCATTGGTTATTTTGTGGGTGTTGGGTTTTGCCTTGCGTTATTGTCAAGATCAATTCGTCAGATGGATTAATTATTATCGATTAATCCAATACGAATCATTGAGGACAACTCGAGACAAAGAAATTACTATTTTATTAGTAGATTCCGAATATAAAACAAATGATTTTGTACAGAAATGGTATCCAACTTAGTCACTACTTAGGAATTGCTCTTATCAGCCAATTATTATCGATTCGATTGTTTGAATAGAACATAATATACAGTGTGTTAGGTTAAACGAGGGACTTATTGAGGGAGGGTATTCAGTATTCTATTCTCGTCCCGAATATGTAAAAAACCTATAACCAAAATATTTGAAGTAATTGTCCAATAAAATAAATCATCATGAACACTGAGCGCGCAACAAGTGAACTTGTAAACAGAAACAGTACTTACATAAAGTAAGTCGCGTTGCAAAATATGCGCCGATCTTGCCGAAAAGGATAGAGTGCGCTTAAGCCCGCTAAGCCGTAACCCGTAAGCGTAAGCGGAAGCGTTTTTATGGGTCTGTCTGTTATTTATTAGTGTTTTCGTTTCGTTTTTATGTTTGTTAGGTTCATGTGAGTATACACTATTATGGGTTTGAATATGTCCCTCGTTTAACCTAACATACTGTATATATTACTATGTATCTATGTAAGATTTTGTACTGGGCCTTTTTGCCAACTGTTAGTGGACAAAAATATTAAAATCTAGGTATATTTGCGTCACTTCAATTCACAGAAACTATAAATTCTTCAATGTTGATAACGTACACTATATTGTTTTTAAGTTTATCTGCCTACTTAAATATTTGATAGAAATAGATTAGATTTTAGCAATTTTAACACATGCTTTGTGTGGTTTGAATGACAAAAAGACTAAGGTATTCTTCATAATTCTGTTGTTTACATTGCACTTACTTATCATATAATAAGGTAAAATTTTAATAATCTGCTTTGTTGAGCTCGAATGTTATTAACGGTCTTTGCATCATTATTTTCCTTTTTATTATTATCAATCAACATTAACAATCGTTTACTGCTTTTTATAAGTCACCGTCGCCCCTATAGTCCGCTACATTAAATGACAATTCTCTACTTACATCCAACGATTGTGATTCTGACGATATCCTATAATCCACTATCCACTTAATAGGTAGCCTGATTTAAAGGATAGGTAGATGAAATTGGTTGAAATATGATGTTTTTGATTTCAGCACTATGTTATGCGGAGTTAGGAGCTCGGGTGCCACTGGCAGGGTCGGCGTTCATCTACACATACGTAACCGTAGGAGAGATGGTCGCCTTCATGGTCGGCTGGAACAATATTCTTGAGTTCATTTTCGGTAAGTAAATCCTCATTGATCGCTAGCAACTACTTTTTACATAAAATGTAGTTCTAAAGACCATTTATTTGTTGCTCCAAAATAAAAACTTCCTCTCTAATAATATCTATGGAACCGATTAATTTCGTTGTTATCTGAAATCTTCGGCACTGCAATGGATCCTGATTTGCAGTGGTTAGGAGTTTGAGATGGTTTTGTCTTTGATTTGTTTGTCTCTATAAAAAAAAACATTTATTTCAGTTTCTTTGAATAGTAAGACTTTATTCTTAAGCATTTATTTTTGTGATTCCAGGGTCTGCGAGCGTGGCCCGAGGTCTCAGTGCCTACATAGACGCAGTGTGTAACCACGCCATGTCAGATTGGCTGACGTCCGTCATGCCCATCTCCGAGTCTTACGCTATCTCCTCCTACTTCGACCTCTTCTCCTTCCTCTTTGTTTTGGCAATGGGAGGTAAGTTTTTGTATAAGGTGCAGAAGAACATAACTATTTTCTGTATCTCACATATTATCTTAAGAGACTGAGAGTATCCCATTTCATGATTTAGTACTGGTCCGGTTTTACATTCAGTCTAAAATAAATTGAACCTTAAACAGGTCAGATAGGTACCAAACCCGAAGAGTCATCAGACCACCACGTATGCCCAATCAGGCGGGAGAAATCATTCGATGATTTTCCCACCTTAAAAAAAGATAGGTACCAAATTGTAAAGACTCAAACCACTACAAACTTTTATAGTAGAACACGGCTAAATCTAGCTTCACAAACTGCATGATTGATGAACAATTCTATATTGACTGTGCAAGAGTGGCTACATATGTACCTATCTAGTTGTAACAAACAAGGGCCCTTTATTGAAGTCTCCCCTACAATTTGTTGCGTGCCCAGCAACTGCAAATGTAGTCATATACTGTTTATATAATAGTTTGACAATGATGTTTTTATTATTATGTTCGACAGTTGTGATGTCGTTCGGAGTGCGCGAGTCTTCCACAGTCAACAACGTGTTCTCCGCCATCAACATCCTCGTCATAATCTTTATAGTCATCGCTGGATCGTTCAAAGGTAAGCTCGTCTTTTGGAGCTGAATTTTATTTATTGACTTGATCAGAAACCCTTTTAATAAATTATTTTCGTGATGTTTATTGACATTTTTTTATGAACATTTGGGATAATTTCACAAGTACTCGGTAAAACGTTATACGTATATAACGTTACGTTACGAAATTATTATAGCATTTTTGGTTTAGTCACACGTATTCATCATGCCCTAATATAGGTCTCCCTAAATTACTAGCTGATCAGGCCATAGAGAGCGACTTGCACGTATTGTCGTCCAAATGATATTCATTAACACGTAGATCATTTTATTTCTTACTCAATATTTTTATACTGTTTCTTTTTCCAGCAAACTCTGCGAACTGGAATATTCCTCCGGAGCAAGTGCCAGACGGTTTTGGTTCTGGAGGGTTCTTCCCGTACGGTGTATGGGGAACTCTCAAAGGTGCTGCCATTTGCTTTTATGGATTCGTCGGCTTTGATGTCGTCAACTCTTCGGGAGAAGAAGTAAGTTTTTCCCATCGTATAAAGCTGAAAGCATATTTAAATACTAAATAAAGCCTTTCCCTGATGAAACATTTTATGGAAACAACAAAATTTGAAAGAGTAGGTCACAAAGTGAGAATATTTTGTTCAAAAATACGTATTAACTCGTCGAGTACCGGTTTTGTAGACACAATTATAGAACAATAGGTTGCGGTCACCGGTGACCGCTTGGTGTTTGACAGTTTAAAACCCAATACTGAACTTTGTTGTATGTGATGATAAAAGTGATTTTCCTTTGTTTCAGGTGAAAGAGCCGAGTAAAACTATACCAATAGCGATCCTGTCGATCCTGTTTATAGTGTTCGCGGCTTACGCTGGTGTGAGCATCATTGTCACCATGATGGTCCCGTATTATGAGATGGTGAGCTACTTTCTTTTGGTCAAGTCTTTTCTAATTCTTATCATCAAGACCGAGGCTTGGATGTTGTGTGACGGAATGATTTAATTGCGAAGTAGATTTTTGATACTAAGGTATTAGTTGATATGATGATTATTGCTTGAATGGGTGTAACTAAATTTTAAGGCTTAGTTATATAGTCTTGGTTCCCAGATTGAACAAATTAGGTATTTTTAAATTATCTCTACTAGCGGACTGGAAGACAGGTAGGTAGCATGCGCAGACCTTTTACTAAGTGGACCGACGATAAGGCTAGAGTCGCGGTTAGCTAGTGGATGCAGGTGGCTAGTTGTCGTTCAATGTGGAGTACTAAGGGGTGGCCTTTGCTCAGCAGTGGACATCTTCAGGTTGATGATGATTATGATGATGATGATGAAATTAGTTTTACTAAGGGTTATTATGTACTAAAGGCTACTTACTGTTATTGATAACCTCATTTTCAAGCAAGTGCACCCATAATGACAGATGTTATGTATGACTGACTATTCTTTCTCTTGTTTCAATTCAGCATTGTATCCCATTCCTGTGTTAGTTTCTACTTCAGAAATGATTGGTTCTTATTTTCAGGTAGCTGTGGCCTCAGTGTCGACGGCTTTCAGGCATGTGGGGTGGGAGTGGGCGCGATGGATAGTGACTGTTGGGGCTGTTTTCGGTATTTCCACCAGGTATGTAACTTCCAAATATTAACAATATTTCCACAATTTAGAATCGGAATAATTTAAGAACTTTGCTATATCTGTGTATGTGTATCTTTTGAAGTTAAAGAAGTTATTATGCAAGATTCAAAGTAGGTGATTTTTATGTGTGTTTTTTTAATGGCTGTGGATCTTTTTAATTATATTCTTTTTACGTAAAATAAATTCATAAGTCATGCAGCAAAGTTAGTAATTGTATCATTGCTATATAGTTTTCAAAAGGCGTTAAGTTGATCTAAATAAATTTATCTTACCTTTTTTGCCTCTAGTTTGTTCGGCGCGTTATTCCCCCTGCCTCGGCTGCTGTACTCGATGGCTAACGATGGTCTCTTCATCCACTGGTTCGGCAAAGTCTCCAGAAGGAAGTCACCTATCATCGCCACTATTGTACCCACTGCTATTATTTGTAAGTAAAGTGCTATATTTTGCACTTGGTGTGGCATTTCCAATTTTTGAAAACTCATAATCAAGGAGTAGTATAATTTTGTCTATTAAATGGTATCCACTTTTTACAAGTCTGTATTTCCTGAAGTGTACCTGGGTGTCTTCCAGGCCCGAGTGAATAGGTTACTTATGGGACGACGTGCTCCATCTTAGGCCGCATCATCGCTTACCACCAGGCGAGGTAGTGGTCAAACGTCGGCCCATCAAATATATAAAAAAAAATAGCATAGCAGGCAAAAACAGGGTGTTTTGTTGTCCCTACGTACTTCTGTTTCTATTATATTATGTTTGTGTAATTATGTAAAGCTTTTTGCTTGACCAATGATGCTCCACAAACCTATTTCAGAATCTGGTTTTATGACCTTATACCTTTATTTAGAAGTTTAAATATTTTTGCGAAAATTTATGCAAGGACATACATTTTCCTTGTCCAAATATTTTGCAATGAGTTGAAATGTAGACAAATTACTGTCGGGTTGGCTTAAGACCAAAGTACCAAATTAAGGAGAATTATAAATAAAATAGCGACCTACAGTTGTACCTACATATAATTTTATAAAAACAATTAACCGTTAATAAGGATAAAGTGGTACTTTATTTATTATTTGATATGATATTCTGATATTTCGACACCATGAATAACAGACGAACTAAACTTATTGTGGGTAATATGTTTATTAGCAGACTAATGAATCGATTGAATGCATCGATATGAGACACGATGAGACACAAAATACATTGTGTTTCGCGTGATCCGCATTTAGACACGAAAGGTTAATCTGGTGGATTATTTTCTTCGGTTTATTCAATCGACGCCACTACCATTGTCACAAATATCACTCATAACTGGATTCTGTAGCTGACTCATAAAACTCGCTGTATCCAATCGATTTTTTGACAAGTTATTACAGTAGAAAAAATCTTACCATTTAAAAAAAACTACGTACGTTATTTTTTATCAATATTACCAACAAACCTGTACAAATTAATTTCTATCAGGTCTGAATTCCTTTCTGATTTATTTAGGAATTGTTTATTGTAGTGCTAACTCTTATTACTTTTATTATTTTCAGCAATCCTGGCAGCTTTCTTGGAGTTGGAGCAGCTAGTGCTGATGATGTGTATTGGGACCCTGTGCTCCTATACGATCGTCGCCACCTGTGTTATATTACTCAGGTGAGTGATTCAATGAAGTCTTTCCATTTTGATTAACTGCCACAATTTTGCTGACCATTTTTTTATAGAATAGAAAGCAAATGGATCATAATGGCAAGCAAACAGCCAATGGGCAATGAACCAACCAGTCAGAGCGTCGAACGTGATCTCGTTTCGATTACATTAAATAAATTCATACTAAACTTTCTGATTGTAATGGACAAATAACCTTACCACCAGCAGCACATGCCGCATTCGCACTCGTTGACGACATTGCGCCAATGTCGCTTTGACATCGGTAGTTATGTGAATGTATGCAATTACTTTCACGAGTCGTACATCAGTCAGTGTTTCTACCATTTGTAGATGAAAACAAAGTAAGATGGACGCGAACGTGCCGACCAATATCAAAGCGACATTTGTGAAGTATCGTAAACCAGTGCGTGTGCGGCTTACCTTACTCTGCCCATCTTTCTCAAGATGGTTCAAAGATTCTTTCTCATGAATCTATTTTCACAGGCATCGCTCAGACTACGTCCCGGAGGTATCAGCTCCTCTGATGAAGCAGATCATCGGTCTCGGAGGCAGGACAGCTACGAAGACCACCAGTAGGGTCATCAATGTGGCCATGGTTGTATACCGTAAGTCAAAGTCACAATAGAATCTCTATGGAAATTTCATGTAATAACATAATAATACTTATGGAATAAAATAAATGAAATAAATCTTCTCAATGAAGAGTTATTGTTTTTGTATTCATCAGCATAGATGGTACTAACGTAGCATGAGGGCCTGTTTGTTCAATCTCTAGCTGTCCAAAAATGTCAAGTGGTTTGATATTATTAACAAATTCTCGATTGAGTAAAAAACCGTAGTTGTCATTAGTGCATTGGTGTATTTCCTATCAATTCTTCTTTTATATTGTTTCAGTTTGTATATGCCTAACGATAGCTCTGGTGGTAGTGAACGCAGCGGAGCCTTTGATTCCAGCCATCATTCTGCATGTTTTCATGTTACTTATCGTCCTTATTATGGCTGTGCAGCCATCTAGCAATGAGAAACTGGCATTCAAGGTAACTATACCTAGAATATTACAAATTATTATGTGTACAAGCGAAATTATGTTTTCCTAAGACTAAGACTTCCTTGGGTAGCAACTACGATCTGCCTGGCGGTGGCGAAAGGCATCACGATTGGGTTGCGGAGCACGTATACACCTTGCCCATCATTTTCGAGGAAGAGGACTGACTCCTGGTTTAGTTTTAACCCTTCTTCATAAGAATTTCAGTAATTCAGGCTGTATGTATGTTTGTATTTATGATTTCAGACTCCACTCGTGCCATTCATACCCTGCCTCAGCATATACACGAACGTACATTTAATGGTCATCATCAACATTCATACATGGATCAGAGTTATTATATGGATTTTATTAGGTAAGTTTATTGTATAAAATGACGCTTTCGTAGTAGCAGTCTTTTTAGTAGTACACGACTTGCGAATAAATTAATTACAAATTGAATAAAGTTTACATATCTCATATTAATGTACTTATTTCCATTTTTCAGGTATACCAATTTACTTTATATGTATAAACTGCTATAAGCAAAACGCAGGCAAAACGGTACAAGAGGATACAAACAATAAACCACATGTAAATAAAAATGGAAAATCACCTACTGTACAAATTGTAGTGGAATCACCTACACCTCCTCGTACGATGGCACGACCAGATGAACAAATGGAGGAGTATGATGAAGAAAGAGAAATTCATAGAGAATTGAAAGATAAAGTCATAGGAGCAAAGAAAATCGATGAAATTATTGTACAACAGGTTCAAGTAGAAAACAATGAGGAAAAAGAGGCTAAAATAATCGATTTATTAGATCAAGTCCTACAAGCCGAGGAAGATACTTACAGTGAAGTTATAAGCTTAAAAGAAACCAAAGATGATGATTCTACTTCAGGCGGAGTTGCCATAATACCTCACAGGAAATCTTTAAGTGAACTGTCCGATGCAGAATCCGACGCGTCGTTAGGTAATCAAGTGTTATCTAAATATGACGTGATTGCTCAAGTCCACAGAGAAGATTTGCCAAAAGTAAGCGAGGAAGAAGAAAGGATAGATAACAATGAGGACAATATTCCTTTCGAAGATGAAGAAATAACAGCATTTAATGATAGTGACACTAATTCCCGTACAGATGAATCAGGATATTCTGATACAATTGATAGACAAGCAAGTGAATCGTTGGATGAACCTGCGCCTAATATACCACCTCCACCGCCTTTTGATGAAAACTTTTTTAAGAGTAATTACACTAACTATAACAAGTTTTATACAGTAAATGCTATGCATCCTAAAAAAGAACCACCACCACCACCAGAGGAAGATGATGAAGATGTAACTGAACCTAGAGTAAGCATACAGTCAAATAATTCACAAAGTGATGGTAATATGAGATTTGGTAGTGATAGACAAATCAAATTCATGTCAAAATTGAATAACATTTTCCAAAAAAACATCCCTAATGATGATGAGGTAGAAAATGAACCAAGAAGAAGATCACATTCAACAGGAAATGCACCTGATATAGAACAAGCAGTGAATCGTGATCGACCGTCATTATTTTTGGATTTAAAGAAAGAGTTGTTGTCTAGGGATGCAGCACAAAATCTGCGTCCTGTCAACGCAGAAGTTAAACCGCCAGATGAAAAGGCGTCGCAAAAGGAGTCCGAATCATCGGAACCTGAACCAGAAGAAGATCAATCATTAAGTAGAGCAGATTTAAAGAATAAGTTAGAAAATATATTTGCGGTGGGAGGTCCACAGCTCATTAAACCGAGGTTGATGAAGTCTAACCCACCAACACCAGACGATTCTAATGCAACAGATCACTCTAGTACAGAGAGTATAGCAAAGTTACCGAAAATGGACAAAAATGATACATTAAAGAGACAAAGAGCAAAGTTCAGTGAAGTTTTGAATTCATTCCGGTTTAGTATGAATGCTGATGACCAAGTGTAACTTGTTTAGAAAGTGATATTAAGGGAAGCAGTACAAGTTTATGAACTTATTGAAGAACAGTGTGGCTTGTTACGTATTGTTGTTTGTTCCCAACTCACAGAAGTAACCAAGGTTTTTGATTGGCTTCTGTTTATTGTAAATCAACTAACTTTCCTAATATTTTGATACCCATGCTAGTACCTAGTCGTACGATAAGTGCCTTATTTTGTAATAGATATTTATGTATGATCGGATTCATGATTTTCATCTTTATCGACGTTAAATGCCATTTCATGTTCGAACCATTTCATATGGTGTGCTTAGTGTTATGTAAAGGCTATAATCGCATATCATAAATCTAGGGAAACTGTGTTTGGAATGTAATATCGTGCAGTGAATATCTTGTAGATACGGATACGAATTTTAGTTTGTAAGTAGTGTGTTTTCGAAATATAGATAATCAAGATCAGTAAGACTGACGGGACCATTGTAGATGACTTGTCGATAAATCCAACAGTGATCCAAGAGTGTATGTAGTCACAAATTGTAATAAAATACTAATTTAAGTTTTAATTTTGTTTTTTTTTTCTCAATTGTTACAATTCCAAGCAACTGCCTTTTTGGACGAGTGACAACCTACTACAATGTTAAGTCTCAAGTTCGATCCTTGAGCATGTGTGTAATTCTCAGTATAGTATGGAGTCCGAAATTGTTGTTGAATTTCCAAAATGACCTATCAATATTAAGACATTTTGATAAATTTCTCAAGTATATTTCTCTCCCAGACGTATATATTCAGAATAAAATCAACAACTTAACACAGGCAAAGAAATGTATTAAGAAAAATATAAAGTATCAAATTATCGTGTCTTTGCATTACTGCTCACTCATTTTCTCTCAAACGCGTACATTAATTGTGTACGACATGTCAACACGTCTCCTTGTTGTACAACTCCTGCACTAGATCATATAGTTGCATCTCCTTCGTGATATTCAGTAGGAGTTCGTCGATTATCTGTTCCGAGACACTGTAAAAAAAAACAATATTACTTTAATGTTATTTTAAGCAAACATTTGGTAGGGGGACATTCCAACTAATATACTGACAAAGTTATCAAAAGTTTCATGAATATTGTGACGATAGGTATAGACATATCCCTAGGTATGTGCCGCAGGTCTCCTTCAGAGAACCCGGTGCCCCTTATTGATGCTAAGGGTGGCCACCAGGGTGATTTTAGTGAGGTGCAAATCCCACACTCTCTAGTCTTTTTCCCTAATCAGCTAGGAGCTTTTTGAAGGTTTCCCCCGTCATAAAAAAAGGTTTAGACACAAGCTTCAGCAACGAACAAGACTACTGAACAAATATGTTGTAAGTTTAATCCCTTTATTTCGGGAAATCAGCCATGGGTTTTCGACTTTGTATCTACTCCGATAGAGTACATTTTATAAGAAAAAAATGAAACTCAGACACTAAATCTCAGACAAACAAGATACCTATAGATGAATACATAAAGGTAGTTTAGAAGTGGGGTGAAATGAGAGGGCAGACAGTAGTGACGTCATAACTCGTCCTCGGTCACGTCGAGACAATATTTGGATGTTATGACTTTAACGTGTTAAGTAGACACTCCATAATATTACATCTCTTTTATTTATAGAAGTTTTCATTATCTGGTTATGTTTTGGTTTGTTTTATGAGTGTAATGAAAGTCGGCCTGGAGTGTCTATCAAGCACATATCGCGTTAGATTAGAAATGTCTTTAACATATGGTTATTTGGATGGCTTTTAAGGGAAATACAAGGTTAACAAATATATTATAATTATATTGTAATTCTGACCTGACTTCTGTCACATTTAAAAGCTCTGTTCACATCTCACCTGCCAATCATCTCCCACGGTTGCCCAATAGCGCTGTTAGCATACATGTTGCTGGTCAGCATGTGCTGGACAAATTTGGTGCGGTACTGAAACAACGAGTCCGCGGTCTTCTCGGAGATGTTGAACACGAGCCGATAGCGGTCCAACCCTGAAGCTGATGAAGGAGCCCCGAACAGGGGCTTAGGGATTTTCTTTTGTATCGTTTCTTCTAGTATCTGGGTAAGGAGAAATGGTATAAGATGATACATATATACAACATTACGCCTTTTATCTCCGATAGGGTAGGCAGAGGTACATTAGCAGTTTTGTAATGTAAAGTAGGTGTTACATTGTACAATGGCATTAAGTGCCGACTTAATGCAACAACCACTTTTGACTATTTATGTACCCCCTATATTGTGCCCGGTATATGGCAATAGGCTTACCAGCCTAGACTTTCAAACTCCGTGTTACTACTGAGAATTAAAAAAAACCTAGTAATACTCGAAACCCACTAGCGACTGCTCGGCCAACGCGACATTTTTCATATTTTCATGAATCTTCGAGAATATTTGTCCGTCAATAAATGAAGTAGTGACAGAAAATTTTTGTTTCATGCATTTTAGCTTCTATTTATATGTACAACTAGCTGTTGCCCGCGACTTCGTCCGCGTAGAATAATGACTTATGGCAGAATTTAGGCTTTTGAATTAGTTTTTATCAAGGGATATTCTACGGTAATGGATGTCGTCAGAATTAATTCAGTCCCGTAGATGATAGCGTGATAATATGTAGCCTATATGTTTACCAGACTTGTTAGTAATATTCATGCAAAATTTGAAATAGTAGTGCAGTACTTTTTGAGATCATCACGGCCATACATACAGACAAACAGACAAAAATTCTAAAAACCACATTATTGGCTTCGGTATCGATTAGAGATCACGCTTCAAATATTCTTTTAAAAAATATTCAATGTACAGTTTTGACTTTTCTACGATTTATTATATGTGTAGATAGCTGTTGCCCGCGACTTCGTCCGCGTAGATTAATGACTTCTGACAGAATTAACCAGAATCAATTCAGTGCCCAAGTAAGATTTACCTATTTTGAAATGATTTATCGTAGTTTCAATAAATAAATAATCCCGCAGGGATCTTACCAGTACAGTGCCCGATCACGTAAGGTTTGAGTAATAAAAACTATTCTATCGACTATTGTTGTACCGAATCTCTCTAGAATAAGTTCAGTGGTTAAGAGTTAGAGAGTCCTGGGGCATTGACGCATAGTTCCCGTTCTCGTGAGACATCTGTGAAAAAACTATCATACGTTACCCAGGTCCCAAATCATCGTTTTACCGAATGTAATTCAAAAAGATTCAATGATTCTAAATTCAACGGCTAAGAAGATTTATACAAACTCTCATTCCCTATTTTATCCCCTTAGGGGTGGAATTTATCAAAATCCTTTCTAAAGAGATACCTATGTCATAGTAACTTTATGCATGCAAAGTCTCAGCCCGATCAATTTAAAACTGGCAAAGTATCATACTTTGGGGTGAGAATGTTCAAAAACCTTTCTAAAGGGACGTTTACGTCATAATATCCATCTGCACGCCGAATTTCAACCCGATCGGTGTAAAACTGACAAAGCCTCACACAAACGTTCATCCCCTATTTTACCCCCTTGGTGGAAATTATCAAAATCCTTTCAAAGCGGATGCTTACGTCATAACATCTATCTGCATGCCAAATTTCAACCTGATCGGTTTAAAACTGACAAAGGCTCATATAAACTTTCATCCCCTATTTTACCCACTTGGGGGTGGAAATTATCAAAATCCTTTCACAGCGGATGCTTACGTCATAACATCTATCTGCATGCCAAATTTCAACCCGATCGGTTTAAAACTGACAAAGTCTCATACAAACTTTCATCCCCTATTTTACCCCCATTGGGGGTGGAAATTATCAAAATCCTTTCACATCGGATGCTTACGTCATAACATCTATCTGCATGCCAAATTACAACCCGATCGGTTTAAAACTGACAAAGTCTCATACAAACTTTCATCCCCTTTTTTACCCCCTTGGGGGTGGAAATTATCAAAATCCTTTCTTAGCGAATGCCTACGTCATAACATCTATCTGTATGCCAAATTTTAGCCCAATCTGTCCAGCGGTTTGGGCTGTGCGTTGATAGATCACTATGTCAGTCAGTCAATCAGTCAGTCAGTCAATCACCTTTGAATTTTATATATATAGATGGTTAAGTAAATATTTTCATTTCGATTGCTGAACCTCTATTCGATCATGAGCTGAACGCTTTCTTTGCTCTGAAAATTCTAGAATCTACCAGGTACTTACTTTGAGCAGCTGAGGCGTACTCGGCTGTCGCGGATTGTTACCGTTTACGAACACCAGCTGAGCGTTCTTAGCCCCGGTTACACGTTCTGTCCTGTTGGATAAACGAAATATTAATAAAACGCAACTTACGAACTTCATATGTAATGAAACTTTTTAGATATCCTTCAGTTTTTGACTACATGGTTGGTGCGACGACTGGGCGACGTGTCGCGGGTCCGATTCACGCACGGAACAATATTTTGTGTGATCCACAAATTGTTGACTCGGGTCTGGGTGTCATGTGTATGTGAATTTATATGGTTTTTTTTAAGAGAGAAAATCATCGAATGACTGCTCCCGCCTAGGTGAGGCGGGAGGGAGTGTCAGACTCTTACTGATTAAAAACCACCCCGTTCCTCCTTCTACACATCGAGCCCCGGTAACCCGTTAGGTTTTCCGCGACGAATTTATATGGTTGTAAGCAAACCCATGACACAGCCCAAAATCCTAGTGTGGAGCAACGATTAAAAAAACAAAACTTCATATAAATGTAACCTGTGCTTAGCTAAGATTCTTTTTAACGATATAACCTGATCAACGATACTCACTTGTGAGCAATCGAAATACACCTGTTAAAATGTATTTGGCTCATTTAAAATAAGTATTTTTTAATCTGATTGGAATATAGTAACACTACATGAAGACCTCTAGAAGTCCATATAAACTAATATACAACGTTAGTTCGTTAAGGACTAGAACATTAAGCCAATGAAATAATGAATGGAATAATGTTAAAGTAAATACTATATGATGAAGCGTCTTTAAAAACTCATCATGACACAGGTACATGCATACAGATATATCTGGTGTTCATATCATGTGCGATGATAAAATCACGGTGTTAATACATCATATCATGGTTGGGAATCAAATGACTATTTGAGTGCTGTCAATTAAGACAATATAATGTATTCAATTTTGTAATTAGTTTTTTGAATATTAAAATATTTTGTATTATTATGAACATAGACTGCCTCGTTGGCCGAGTGGCCGCAAGTGCGACTGCCGGGCAAGGGGTCTCGGGTTCGGTTCCCGGGTCGGGCAAAGTATTACTGGGTTTTTGAAAATCTCAGTTGTAGCACGGAATCTGGAAATGTGCCCGGTATATGGCAATAGGCTCACCCCCTATTACATGGGACTCATAACATAAGTAGTGAAAAGTGGGTGTTACATTGTACAGTGGCATTAAGTGCCGTAATGTGCACCTCTGCCTACCCCTTCGGGGATAAAAAGGCGTGATGTTATGTTATGTTATGAACATAGATCTTACAGATAGTTTGACGAACAAAAGATCTGACTATATGGCTAAT